CGAGGCAACGTGTACCTGATGTCGCTACTCGCGCGCGGAGGCGCGTGTATAAATTTCGCGGAGAGGACGCGCTTCCGGTTCCTGTTATAGCTGACAGCTGTCGCCGGTCCGAAACACGTCGGATGTCGCTCTTTGGGCGTGAATTTTATTTATCGTCTCTCTCTCTCTCTCTGTCTCTTTCATGTACAAGAGAGTGTGTTATTGCAGCATCCACTCGCGCGCTTCACTAGAGATTCTGTCATCGTCATTGTTTGCTAGCTCTCTATGGACGACCATATCTCTCTCGTTTTTCATCAAAGTTCTTTTATGGGGATGGAAATTCAATTGGCGTTTCATGACTGCAAACGCGAATGTGGATCGCACTTGCTTTCAATGGATTTTACGGTGCCGAATGAGACGTGATATAGGTTCAAACACAAGAAAAACTTTTTTTTTCCTGAAATAGATGCGGCTAATAAAAATATACAAGTCAATGGAGAATTCGAAATGGCGTTTCGCGTGTGATTTATTGCAAGACGCATCCGCGATCATTTTTCACGCGTACTCTTTTGCAAAAAAAGAGCTTGATTTATCTGTTTTTAATTGAATTTCATCCATCAACATCACGATTGAAATGTTACAGGAGATTCACTCAAAAAAATAAGAGAGAATCTCTATTTACCCACATACGCTGAATTAATCGGCAAATGAATCGGTGAATATCGCTTTATCGTCCGCGCACGACGCTTATGATAGACTCGGGCGCAGCCTCATTTAGCTGCCGTATTATTATTTCGCAGCAAATTCGCGGAGCGCCGCGCTTTTGGAGTTATAATTTGGCGCGGGTCTACCGCACACTGTAACATTGTCTCTAATAGCCGACGAAAATCATTGCATCAGAGTCCTTGCGGAGATAGAGCCAAACTTGGAGAGGGGAGGGCCACACATTATAATGCCGCGTCTGGGGTCAAGCGAGCAATAGGTAATCTGTCGTCGCTTGACCGTTAATAAGCGGCTAAGTGCAGGTAGGATACCTTAATGGCACCAACCCTATACGCGCGCTGGAATTCAAAGAGGCTAAAGGAGCGATCGAGACGCGTATACACCATGCATAGTATCGACTAGTCCGTAAACAACCTCTATGTGTGTGCAACTTGTGATTAAAGGTAAATATTGCCTCGTGAGCTCTTCTCCGACAGCCAAGTGAGATTACAACGCGCGAAATTTCAGAATCATTACACTGACCTCCGCACGCGCGTTGATCGATGTTGATGGATCGCGAGGATTACACACCGGCTATTCTCACGGAGCTGTGGTGCTGGCGATGCTGGTAGTATCCCCAGCGTTGTTTGACGCCACAGCGACTTGCCTTGCTTCTCTAAGGATTAATAGCTTATTAGAGCTCGTATTTGATTGGTTTTATTCATTTGTAACGATCATACTTCTTCTAATTTTCTCTTTTATTCTTTCTTTGGCTGCAAAATAATCGATTGCTGTTCTGTGAATTACAATGCTCGTTCTGACTGTGATTATGATCAATGACTTGTTTAATTCGAGCTCTGGCGTCAATTTCCAATGACAAACAATATTATCTGTGCGTGGGGATTATTTGTTGCGGGGTATTTTACAAACTCCAATTTTCATCTAAACTTGATTACAGATAAAATTACATCTTCTTGTCGATATTTGTTTTATAAAGTGATATTAGAAATACATCAATATTTTAAGAACTTCTTTCAACGAAATTGAAAGAACTAGAGTGAGCCTTGAATATTACCACTTTTCCATTCACCAAACAAATTTTTCCTACGAACCCGTGATATTTTCCAAAATACGCATTATTCCAAGGGGAAATTGTCAATTATAGCGTATATATAAAATGAGCGTCCTTAAATATTAAAATTTAATCAATCTCTGCTCAGGAGATCTATTTCTATCTATTCTATCTATTCGATTAGTGATAGGCAAACATATGGAATTCACCATCAACTAATGTTTGCACCTCAGAACTCCTCAGCAAGCTATATCTCCAATTTGCCCGTGAGTGAAATAGACCTTTTGTTTAAACAACTTTCTACGATCAAGTTCTGCGTCATCCATCGCAATTATCTCTCTTTATTATATTTTTCTTTCCTTTATTTCTCGGTCGATACTTTTGTAATAAATAACCTGGTCACATCAATCATACTTTGGGTGATTCATTAGTCGGGAGAAGAGAGAGAGAGGGGGGGGCTCTCCTACTCTGCTAAATAAACAATCAAAGCCCGGCTGGCGCGCGATTGAAAGTCATATTTCACGCGGATGGCCGCGAGAGTTTATTAATCACGCTTGGCTCTACGGCTGGTGTTGCAGCGTGAGCGAGAGAGGGTTAAGCGACGTGCCCCACTGGACCTCTACCCGCTCAGCTTCAGCTCGAGCTCAGCTCGTCATTACGTATATACATACTCGCACGCAGCCGTCGGTTTCATTGTTTCCCTTGTGCCAGCACTGACGTGTACCGCCTGTACTGACTGGCTCTCTTGTCTAACGCTTCGCCATCAGATTTTCTTCGATATTGGATTATTATTATGATTGTTATATTAAATTCATGTTGTTTTAGAGAAATACAATCGTAACATTTGAGCTCTTTCGAATACATGCAAAATGAGGTGATCCATGTATGGATTATATTTTTCAATTATTTTCTTTTCAATTTTAAAAATCTGTTTCAGTAGTAAATGATGTTAAAAGTAAATATTTCTAGAATATTTTGTGTGCGAGCCTTTTTCTGTGCATGCAATATTTGCTTAGTGCATCTAAAACTCTTATGAGCTTTTAGACATTAAAATGTACGGTATATTTATGAAATTCGTTATTAGTTTTTAAATCTTAATTATATTGGAATTTTCATAATGAAGAACTCTATAATGGGATCTCTGTTTGATTTTCAATTCATTCTTAATTTGATTGATTTAGTTTCCTGTAGCGAGGTCGATACCTTATTATTTATTAAAAATACAATCAATTATGTTGTAGCAGGAATATTTATTCCCAGTGTAAAGTTTGTCTGCAAATGGAAGCAGATAATATAATAAAAAAATTCTCAGTAAAGGATGACATAAAGTCACTCGAAATTTCTTTCCATGAATTTCTATTTTTGTTTTTAAAATAAAACTTGAAATGCAGAGCTCGGACTAACGGTTAATAAACAAAAATAGAGTTGCTAACGAGCGTAAAAAAGCCTAACTCGATGAATAATCCACTAGAATAAAATAAAAAAAGGGGGAGAGAGAATACTGTCGTGTGTTCGGGTGAAGCCAGCCGCTCGCGCATAATACGCAACGGCGCGGTACGAGCGCCGCACGTTTGACGGAATCAAAAAGCTGCGCGCAAAAGGCATAAAAAATAATTGCCGAATGGCATGGCCGAACTGCCTCCATGGGGGCATGAAAAATGTTATGAACGCTCGGCTCCATTTCGACTCGCACACGCGCGCGCGCGCTCGCAGGCGAGTTTGCTCTTTTGTTCGCGCACAGAGGGAATCGAACTGGCGGGCAAAATGCATCGCTCTGATAATTAACGTCGCGCAAAGAAGAACGGCCTGCTCCCGCACGCTGGATCTGGAAAATTGTAACGAGAGAAGAGAGGTGAGCTGCAAATAAAAAAAAAGAGAGAGAGAGAGAGAGAAGACTTGCCCGCCCGCCAGTTTTATGTACTTATCAAGGACTCTTTGTTCCCGCGGAAGCTCCGTTGCGTTACTTTATGAAAAAAGACTTGACATTTTTTATTTAATACAACGTGAAATATGAAACTTAATTGAAAATGAGTGTCTTGTTCATAAAATCACCACGTTAAACAGCATTTTGACGTGACACATTATTTATATCAAAGTATCGTGGTATAATAGATTTCGAATGTGCATTTCATCTTAATAATAGAGAGTAATCAAAAAATCTCAGACAAAATAATTCAATGTAAGAAATGTTTAATAAAAAAAAAGAATCTCTAGTAGAAATACTCCAAGTCATAAAGAACTGCTAAATGGCCAATAAAGCTACTTGAAATAACTCATAAAATACTGCGATAAAAAAGGAAAAAGGATATTGAACAGCCAAGCATCTCGCTACTGTAATTATTCTCGTCATAACCGGCGTAATACTAAATTCTTAGGTTTAACCTTTGAATACAAATTAAACAAAATAAAAAATGTAAAAAAGATTAGTTGAGGCTTAATTGTCGAGAGACAGTATAGCTTCGCTCTACAGGTGTTACAAAAAACTCTCTCTCTCTCTCTCTCTTTCTCTGTCTTTCACTCTCAAGTGATAATTAGTGTCGCTCGATTGATAAGAGACGACGGAGATTAGAAGTTTCGAGCTAATGGAGCTGAGTACTGCCTCGCTGCGCTCCCTGACAAAGTGAACCATTTAGGTGATTCGTGCGAAGCTCTTTCACGGAAAATGGCTATCAAGTTTGTACAGTGTCGAATGGTTTCGATTGTGCCTTTAGATACAACACTTTGTCGAGAGTAATTTATTTTTGTGTATTTAAAAATTCACATTGATTTTTGGATTCTCATAACCCTAATCAGAATAAAGAATATCGGTAAGTAAACTTGACCATTTGTCACTTTGTCACTCGGAAGTGAATTTTCAATCCCAATTCGAGTTTTGAAAGACAAAAAAATCTCATTTAAGATTCCACAAATAGTGTCATGTCACGCATCTCCGTTTAACTTTCCCCTTGTACATCCGATGCCCATACATAACCGCGTGACAAGCATGTTGTCGACAGGAAAAAGACACTGTTGACTTCCCCCCGCTTTCTTCGTCGCATGGAGTGAGAAAACGGCGTGTGTCTCGTCGAATCATCAAGTGGCATAATCGTCGTCGTATAGCAACTGTCTTACTGTCCCTCCTGCTAGAGCGCGCGAAATCAAGTGAGAAGCGCGCATGCGCAAAGTAAAATGGCTATGGGTTGGACTGGAGGCTTAGGGGGAAGGAGCGAACCGTCGCAGGAATACAGCGTCAGTCGCAATGCCGGGTCTGGCCGCGTACGTCGGTTGTGGTGCGGACGACGACGACGCGCCCTCACGAGTATGATTCGCGCGTGCCATTTGCCAAGTGCTACTGGCGCAAGCGCCGGCGCGCCTTTCAAGCTCATCATCCTGCTTACACTCGCCCTTAGACTCGCGCGATCCGACAATGGCGGTGAGTGGGCGATATATTACGTTACGATTTTTCTTCTTCTTCGTCTTTCTCTTTTTGGTGTGGGTGAGTGGTGAGTTGAAAAATATGTTTCTCCGCTCTTCGTAGATCGTTTTTCGATCACTTGGTGGATGGATAAGCCAAAAGCTTTACTTTTTTCCGGATCTATGAGTCTAATACTAAATGAATGATGAAGTTGACTATAACAAATATACATTCTTTTTTTACATTTCGCAGTATTTTTTTCTATAAAATAATGTAGAGAATTGGGAAGCTTTTTTATTAAAACTCTACGGTAAAAAAAGAACTTTTTAAAGTTTTAAATTTTAAGATAAACTTGTTTACAGATATTTTTCATTGATTGGTCATTTTTATAATTCTGTAGTTAATGAATCTAACCAAAGAATGAATGGCTTAGAATTAACTCTACTTTCATGAAATTATATTCAAAACTGTTCCAAAACATAATAAAAATGTTATTGGAAACATAATTGAAATTTTTCAGTAGTGAAAGTCTCACCTTTAATTATATCTATATAATCAGTACTACAAACCGAAATGAATAGGATTGATATATTATGTACTCAATATAAAGGGACATTATAATTTTTTACGTTTCTTAACTCATGAAAATTTTTGAGTATAAGGTGATCATTCGTTTCTCTCTTTCAAAGCTTTCAAATTGAATAAGCAAATTAAGTAGAAAGCAATTCAATATGTCAATATTATTCATTTCTGATCAACTGTAGTTTCAAAGCTCACGCCAATAGTCAATGTACTCTTCAATTAAAAGCTTACAGTTCTAGTTCAACGGTACGATCTCGCCGCCGACGAAAATTGAATTTACAAGTTCGTACCACAGAGTCCTCCCTACAACATCACAAGCATCTAAAAGCCTCTCTCTCAAAGAACACCAGTAAGTCTTGAGGAAGCTCGGCATAGCTCAATTCCAAAAGAAAACACAGAGAGCACAGCGTTAGGATTTGCTATTCGCGGTATGCGCACTTTATTTCTTGGTATTTGTGTTACCACCGTCAATTCATCGGGGCGCGTCTGCGCTAGTTTGTGTATTTATATGTATGTACTTTGACTCAGTGAGTTCCTGCATTCAAGTTTCACGCGCGCGAGGAGATGAGATTTCTTTTGAGCGCGAAAAAGTGGACGAGCTCTCGCATTCGCTTTCTTGCTTGCGCGCTATCGGCTTATCCTGATTGTGTTTGAGCGAGAGAGCGCGATTGTTGACGTTGGATCTGCATTGAACTCGAGACGAGAATGAGCTTTTTCTCGCCCGCGCGCGCTCCACCGAGCGGATTACTTGAAACAAATCGAATCGCTACCAACATTTTTCCCAGAAACGCCCCTTCTCAACACCTTTCAGTTTCATGTATCGACTTGATAATTATTTCTTTTTTTTTTTCTATCATTGTCAATGTTCTCAATGAGTTTTCGTTTTACCAGCCCTCGATAAATCCTACTTGAACCCGATAACTTAATATCGAGCTTAATCGTGTTTGCTGTTTTTTCTCTTTTGTTTCGTCACTGAAAAGGCACACATGGCTCTATCCAGCTCAAATTACGATACGTCGAGTTTTCTGCTAGCAATACTTGAGGATTATAAATAATGAGCAGAGTATCGAGTGTTCCCATCTAGGAAAAGATTAAAATACTGCAATAAAGTGATATTAGTATAGCTTGAAATTTATATCTTCATCGAGAGTGCACCGAGAGAGATGGCGTATCAAGTTTGTTGTCTTTAAAATTCACCAGTACGCAGCGCGAAATTTTCATGAATAGCGATTAGCTGTACAATAATGGTATAGCTGATGAGTTTGTTATTGGAAGTTTTATACCAACTTGTTTACGTTAGTATAAAGTAGAAAAGCCAAGTGAATCCGTTTTGCTGATGCAAAGCTAAATTTTTTTCAGGAGTTATTCTCATCTTCTATAGACGGTCGATTAAACTTCATAGTAATCCTCTCAGGGAAACAAAGCCGTACCGTAAATTTCGCCATTGTGACGAGCGGTCGCCGCGCGCGTACTCAAAATATCGTTATCTCACCTCATCGCGTTACTTTGATCGACACTTGATAGCGGAGTGCGGGCAACTCTTGGCGCGCTGCAGCAAGCACCAACTTCGCGGTTGAATCCTCAAAAGTGTCTTCCTTTTTGCGCTTAGCGAACAAGCCATGCCGCCAGCAAGCAAGCTCGCGGACATAACTTCCCACTCTTGTCCGGGGAGGGGTAACCGCCTGCTTGGATCCGGTTAGCGGCCGGGTCGGGGGGTGGGGGAGAGTCGCACTCGTAAAACGTGTATGGGCCGTGCGCACGTGTTACGCGGGTTCTCGCGCGCACGCTACGAGTTTAATCAGTTGCAGCTTCGCTGGCACGATACATGCCCTCCTCCTCCTCCTTCTCCTGCTCTCTTTCGGCTATGGACGTGCTACAAGCTGCTGCTACTGTTGGTGCACTTGTATGGCTCGTTGCTGCTGCCAAACCCGCTAGCAAAGACGTACGAGCTTCCAGGCATTCGTTTTACTTTTCTCAGGCAGAAGCATTATGCTTTCTTACTGCAACTTTTCGGGACAGCTTTTTACGAGCTGTTGGCGATCTTTTTTGCCGGTTAGTTGGTATTATAACGATAGATACGACGACACGTTGCATTGTTTATTCAATTTCATATGTGAGCCGCTGAGCTTGTCAAAACAGTTGATACAGTCATCATCCAAATTAGATATCTCCGTATTACTTATGAATAGTTCAACAAATACGTGTTAATGTATAGTATAATCCATACAAAGATTATAGAAGCTAATCTTATCCGAAGTAGATGTAGCATCTACAACGTATATGAGCTAGCGATGCGAGCTGTGTAATAGACTATTGTCAATTATAGCTAAATAAGAATCTGACCGATGCAACATGTGTGATAACGTGATTGAAGGATTGATTGAATGCATAATCATTCGCGTGCAAGCTAGTAATCAACGGTTCAATTAAACATGCTCCAATAACAATGAGTAAAAAAGCGAGAATACATTATATATATTACATCCTAAATACTAGATAGTTCTTCGAAGTAATGAACATTCGTACAAGAAAGAACTGTAGAATTGCAAGCTTAATATCGATAAGTACGGACCGTTAATCTAAGAACGGCCCTAGCACGCGAATGTGAGACTGTCGTAAAATAATTATCGCATTGTTAAACTGGCAAGAAGAGAAAGAAAGTGTCGCAGGTTAAAGCGCAGGGCAGTCAAGTCTGACGAGCCGGGCTGACGATATAAAATGGCTCTTCAAGCTAACGTATATAAAGTTCATGTGTCGCCCAGCCGACGTCGTCGTCCTCATTTCGCAACGTAACTTCAGCATTCTCCTCTTTTTCTCCTTTTTTTGTTTGAAAGTCAGCTGCTTTGATAAAGGGATTAACGCGCGAATGATATTCTTTAGGAGGCTATGCTGCTGCACGAGCTACCGTTATACGACAATCGGAGCGCAAGCGAAACGAGTCCACGTGAAATAAGAGCCCCCTCTGCGATTACAGCCTAACATTATACGTGAAACCCTTTTTTTTTTTGAAATATTAAAATTATGCAGACGTGCTGGGATGTATTCGGCTTTTATCTTTTATTTCGCTCTTTCTCTCTCACTCTACTGTTGCACTTTCTGCTTATGACATTGAGCTGTAGAAAGGAAACTTTTTCGGTTGTACATTTCGAGCGCGAAAAAAATTTGTATTGTTAAAAAGAACTTTTTCGTTATTCTTTTTACAGTATAGTAGTAATTAATTTTAGTTTTTAAAGATCCGGAATTGGTTTGTTCTAAGAAATTCTTTTACATCGTCGAAAACGTAATAGTAAAGTACTAATATGGTTAGCTAATTAAATTCAGATCGTGTCTGCCACATTTTCGTTTAATTTGAAAACAAATCAAGCAAATAGTTTTTCCTGCAATATTTTATTTTCAGCAGACTATCACTGGATATAAAACATCAAGGCGTGCACCAAGCGAAAACGATTGTCCCATAAAAAAAAAATTTTACCCACGACCTACATTTTTTGACGATACAAAAGCGCTGCCGCGACGACGACGATACTAAAGCAAACACGCTAACAAAAATAAAAAGATTAAAAAAAGAGGAAAAAATGAATAATGCTCTCCACGTCAGCACACATTTACGTAACGAAGTATATCTCAGCGAATGACTTTTTGTCCGCGGTTGAAGCCGTTGGCAAACAAAAGCTATAAGGGGGTGGTTGTGCTGCGCGCAAGCAGCGGTGAAATTAAGCGCGTCCGCGCTTTTAAACAACTGTCGCCAGGTTCACTCTCTCTCTTTCTCTCTCTCTCTCTCTTACTCTCTGTGCATACTTCGCAATAAAAATCCTCATTATCCTAAAAATGCCATTTGTTTGCGGACCATAAGCAATAAAGAAACCTATCGCTCGTGTGTATGTGCGCATGGATGTGCTTGACGATCGCGTTATTCGTTTATCGTTGGAGTTGCTTCAATTTAATTTAGCCAAACCGCAGTTCATAGATTCACACACAGATGCTACCTTAGTGCCTCGCAGCCGTGTTGCGCATTTCGCAGATTACCAAAGTTGCGTCTTAATTAAGAAAACTTTTAGGGAGCGAACACCCCTCTTCGTGTGTTTCTCTTTGAGATATCAAAGAACGAGTACGTGACGTCGCCTTCGCGTTCATAGTTGTTTTTTTTCTGCTTGCAAAACTTCCTTTGGATTCTGGTAAAGTACTTAGTAAGACACTTTCGACACGGCTTTGAAGTGCTCGACTTTTTTGTTCTGAAAAGTAGAACATTAGACAACATGTGCTATTCAAGTTCACGTTAGCATTTTAGAATTTTGATTAAATATAATGTAATTTAATAATCGAGTATTGAATTAGCATAGTGAAGATGAGGAAACGAGTTTTCTATAATATTATAAAAGATTTTTGGTACTTATTTAAGTAATAGGATTGAATGGATCAATTTAATGTGTGATTGA